GTAGATTGTGTAGCTGCTAACTAATTCACTTTGGCATTTGCCTTCCTCTAATCAACAACAACGCATGTCGCGGAATCGTACTCTTCTCGTAAATTTGCCGATTTGCAACTTCTCTACTCATCCCTTATGTATGATTATCTCAGTTGAATAAACTTTTATAGAAAATTATGCAAACTTACAGTCCCCTGTCACTATCCATGAGTGAATAAACTTTATGAACAAAGTCTTGGAGCGTAATGCTTCGCATGATTTACACGTTACACTTTAGTGCACATCCAGCAGTACTTTAATTTAGATCGTTACAAGAGTAGGTATTTTTTATTTCAAAGCCTGACCATCGTACTCGCAACCTATGGTCGCCCGTTCTCAACAGCCTATGCAAAGGGGACCGCGAAACCGATAATCTTATTAATTTCCACCAGCACCGCCATATCAACATCAGCTCCCCATCATTGATACGCATGTGAGCGACGACATGCCAATGCAAACTTTTGCCTCGGCAGGTATATATTTTGAACACCGTTTTCAGCATTACTTCTTTCATCCCGACTTAAGGAGAGGCGTCCTGCCTCCACAGCTTTTCAAATACTAATCAAGGTAACCAGCATCTTCGTTGTTCGAACTTCTGTCAATTTGATATAATGATCTAAGGCTATCGCAGCTTCGTGCCCCACCAACAGTAGTAAAGACGAGTTCATGGCTCGCTATAGCTCCACTTGGACATTATTTTGTGGCGGCTACAACTAACATGATTTAAATGATCGGGGTTCAGACCAAGTTGTAAATAGGATGACGCCGTATTTCGGATCTAGGTTCAGGACGAGACAGCGTCATGCGCCATCAAGGCTCTTAATATGCACCGAACGACAAAAATATATTTTACGTGTCGCTCGCAAAATGCACGGACATCGTGTCACAATCTCCGTTTCTCTCATGCTAGGGGTTACAGACCTAGGTGCATTTAAGATCGTAGGCTCTTGAGTCCACAATTTCTCAGTGTTGAGTTCCGGTCAATCATATTGCACAGTATTAACATGCTACCAGCCCTCCAACCGTGTCCTGGAAGGATCGTATTATATGCAAGGATGAACCATGAGGTCTTTGAGTATCTCCTCCGTACCAACCAGTCATCCTTAATGAGCTAATATAATGTTGGTATGTAAAGAAATAGAGGAATAGCGGCCATAAGGTCAGATATGGTAATCCCTCGCGGTGGAGCTATTCATAGGTTTATATATGCGCTGGTGAGATATCCCCAGAAGCACCCCGAATGGGCGCTCGTATGAGACGAAAGAACACGTGCCGTTAGACCGTGTCGAGTCTTCGAGGGTGCAGTGCCACATAATGTGAAGAACCAGGACTCATTGCTCTTGAAAAAGGTTGTGGACAGGGAGCCTCAATCTCAAAAAAGTGAATCAAAGATTGGTCTCACAGCCCAATATCCCATAGCATTCTCAAACTTAATTACACAACCTGTAAACGAATAGTTTGACTGGAAGAAGCAAAAATAAAGTTAAGTTTTTCTGAGGAAAGAGTCACTTATATGCTAACATTTTAAATGGTAAAAATATAGACGCATAAACAAGATAAACTCACTAATGCACTCTGGGATCGCACAGTTGCTAAATGTAGCACGAATAGACTTATCACTTTGTGCTACATTTAGTAACTGTGCCTTATCGAGTTGTCTTTAATGTGTATTAAATGTGAGATTAACAAGTTCAATCTGAAAGTCTGTTGAAACGGCGGCAAAAAGTAAAACGAGTTCAACTCTCAACAATAACTCATCATGGCCAGCCAGATGCTGCCTGACTATTTATGCTCCTTCGAATTGTAAGCAAAGACAGTTAAATGCCACAACTTCAAGATTGCAGAATTAGGTATCGTGACTTGATGCACTTATCCTTTAATTTTTTCATTTGCTTTTGTGCTGATTCATTAGAAATTAGCCATACTAATGAAAAAAATGATCATTTTCTAGTCAAAGAAATGTATATAATATTATGATATTACAAGGAAAGCGCAATCAAATGATTCGATGCCCCTTAGCTTCATCATTTCTAAGCAAAAGCACGATGCAAACCCGTATCTAAAAC